TTAAATCATTGGTTCAGTTTAAAAATATTATAATTTTCTTATTTGTTCTAATATAATTTTTCCCTTTCTTAAAAATATATAAATTTTTTTTAATCACAATAATGTCAAACAATACTGATGTTGATATAAATAGTTTATCAAATTCAAAAAAACTTGATGGACGACCAAAAAATGCAGTTTGGCAACATTTTGAGTGCTATCCTTCAAAACATCCAGGACATCTTGGAGCCAAATGCAAAGCATGTAATTGTGAATGGAGTAATGGAGTTGTTAATAAAATGCAAGTCCATTTGGCACATGAATGCGAATACATTAAAGAAGAGATCAAAAAAAGATATATGTATATTGTTGCAGAAAGAGATGGTGTAAGTGAATCTTTAGAAAATACAGCATATAAAGCAAATACACAATCACTTGCTAATTTTTGTGATAAATATGAGATATTATCAAAAGAACATGCAGGAATTATAGATCATCCAACTTTAAAGGCTTTTGTGATTTGTGGTATCCCCTTTAGGATAGTTGAAACCCTTTTTTTCATCAACATGTTAAAAAATTTCAGATCAAATTATAAACCTCCTTCATGAGATTGTCTTAGTACTAAATTATTATCAGATGAAGCTGTTCGTGCGGATATAAAAATTAATAATATTTTAGAAAAGACTAACAACTTGACATTGGGTATGAATGGTTTTTATTTTATTAAAATTATTTGTTTGGTTGTAATTTTTAGGAGTTTCGAAACAGCTTAGGAGTTTCGAAACAGTTTAGGAGTTTCGAACGGTTTAGGAATTCGGGCTCATTTTTTAAACCAGTTTAGAATGGTTTTAATTTCGAATAGTTCTAAACTCATGAGTTTCGGAAGGCAACTCTAATTTCTACTAGATAAGTTATACAGTCAAACCCCCTCTAAATGCACTCTCTTGCTGATTTACAAGCTCGTGAATTAGAGATAACTGCATACTCCTTCCCCCTGCACCGCATGGTCTATTTTTATTCCCTATATAAAACTCTCTAAATACACTCCCGTGATTTTCACGTGATAATTGTCCAATAAAAATTATGCGATGTTATTAAATTTCCTTGTTGACAAAAAAAAAAGAAAAAAAGGATAAAGAATTGATTTTTTGTAAGAGATGATAAAGAATTAAATTTTATGCTTAGTAAATGATGATAATATAAAGAATTAAATTTATTATTGAGGGAAGCATAGCGGACATTTGAATTTGTCACATGTGACAAAATCGATTGGCGATCTTTTTTATATTGTGTGACCGTTCGAATTCAATTATTTAAAATAGAAAAACATGGTCGTAAATAACATGATCAAAAATAATTGTAAAACCCAAAAAATACTTTACAATAATATACCTTTTGTTGGAAACTTTATTTTGGTTAAAAATAATCCCGTTAATCCCGCAAACTGCAAGATCTCATTATGAATTAAAGATTTCAAATTTTATATATAAATTTATCAAGGTGCGCAAAAATTTTATTTTTTTTATTTTGAAAAAATAAAAATATACAATTACAAAACATATAATATTTTTAATTATTGATTCAAATGCCTTTGTTTGTTATAGAGAGTGTTTACTAGGATGTTCATTATCAAGAAAAATTAATTAATTATAAAAAAATGAAAAGGAAAGTTTCATTATAGAGGGAAGTTAATTACAAAGAAATGAATGAGAGACAAAAGAGGAGTTCATTATAGAAAGAGTGAACTGTAGACATTATGTGATTTGTTGATTACATGAAAGGTAGTTAGTTGTTTAAATTTATGCATGCAAAAAGATATATATATTATCGTTTTTTTTTATTTTTTTTTTATTCTTTTGATTTAATTACAAGACATATACACTGAATACAATTTTTTTATTACTGTACACAGATGTTATATAATTTATTAATTACATGAAAGGATTTCAAAAGTTAGTTGTTCTAAAAAACCTTTAAATTTATACATACATACACACATACATACATACATACATACATACATACATACATACATACATACATATACATATATATATATATATATATATATATATTTGATTTAATTACAAGACATAATATATATACACTGACTACAGTTTTTTTATTATTGTACATAGATGTTATATGATTTATTAATTACATGAAAGGATTTCAAAAGGTAGTTGTTCTAAAAACTCTAAATTTATACATGCACACACACATATATATATATATTAATATTTTTCTTATTTATTTGGTTAGTTACAAGACATAGTATATATACACCAAATACAATTTTTATTATTATTATACATAGATGTTATATTAATTACATAAAAGGATTTCAAAAGGTAGTTAATTATTCTAAAGAATTTCTAAATTTATACATGTAACAATAATACATAAATTAATTAAAGAAAAAAAAATTTATTATACGAAATCTAATCCCTTAGGAACTCTTAAAGTGCTGTATTAAACTCAATCTCGGCTTGAAGATTAAATTCCATTTGTAATTCCTCAGGTTCATCAATTTCTAATGGTTGAATTTCATCTTCAGGATCATCTTCTATTGGAAGATCTTTTTTGCTTGTAAGTCAATTAATAATAGATTCTACATTGATATTAATCTGATTTTTTATATATTTTAAACAATATAGACACTTGTATTCATGATGTTGTAAACAATATTCATGATAAATATGACCACATGGAAGAAGTGTCAGCTTTATGAATTGCTGAAAATTTTGATCACTGATAGTGGCAACTATGGTAATTTAAAAATTTAGAAATTGAAATTATCACAATTTTGGGACTATTATATAATAATTTTATTTGTTAAAATTAATTTATTTTTACATGGAATTCAGAGTTCTTTTATACATTTTGTTTAATTATAAGCAATTCCATCATTGATACCCTACTTCAAAATTGGTGTCAAATAATTTTTATATATTCAAATATTGTAACACTTTTGAATATTGTAACTCTTTCAAATATCTGTGTAATAATTTACATTATAATAATAATATGTAATGATTTATGGAAACAAATTTATATATTTAATTACATGAAATGTTGTTACATTAATTAAAAAAATAAAGTATATATATATTAATATTATAATTACAATATTATAATATCTGGAAGTGTTAATATTAATTTGAAAGTATTTGAAGGTGTTACGATATTCTAATTCGAAAGTGTTACAATATTCGAAAGTGTTACAATATTTGAAAGTGTTACGATATTTATATTCGAAAGTGTTACGATATTTATATTCGAAAGTATTATAATAAGAATCAAAATATCATTTCAAATATTCGAATATGGATAAGGGAGAACAATTCACTACTGTTACTGTTATAATGACATTGAATTTTATTATTTACAAAACAGAGGTGTTAAATTCACACAATCTATGAAAGGGATTTTTGCAAAAAAAAATTGTAAACCCATATTTTTGCACAATTCCAATTTCCTTATTATTTTTTTTATAATGTGTCTTTATCTCTGTATCTATCACATCACATTTTTTTTATGTATAAAAATATTTTAACGGCTAAAAACAACTTTGTTTATTATGTTTAAAAATTAATTAATGTCAAAAAATGATTGTGCGCAATTAGTGATTTTGTGTAATTGTTAATTTAGTAATGATATTCAGCCCAATCAAAATTCTTTTTTACGTGATAAAATCAAAATGTGATTAACGCAAATCATTACCAAATATGCAAATGTCCGCTATGCTTACAAATTCTGAGTTTTGGTGATTTTCCCAAAATTGGCCACAAGGCGCAGCAAGTTGCGGGACTAGGTGACTTGCACCATACAAATTTATCATTAATTGACGATCCGTGAATAAACCAGTGAAAATTAGTAGGATCAGCAGGGCAAAAATCGTCAATTGACAATGTTTAACAAATAATACAGTCAAGTATTTTACCAAATTTGGAAATCGAATCTAGAAAAATTGGAACCCCCTTGTTGATCAATTCATATATGTTACAAACGATTTAACGTGACATGTCGTGCTTTGTGAAAATAAAATTTTTTT